AAAAAAAAAAAAAAAAAAAACAACAACAACAACAACAAAAAAAGTTGGATATATTTGGATATAGCACTGTTTCAGGACTTCAAAGCTTCCCTCCTCTTGTCACACGCTTGCGAGGATTTCGCCAGAGTCTATCTCGACCGAAAAGTAAAACAAAAATAATAGCAAGTTTGAGTTTCGCCTGAATTGTAAGCAACGCTTGATGTTTTATCAAGGCCCAATAAATGACAATAACGTTTAACTGTAGACGCTGCTCAGTTTTGTTTGTGTAAAAATCCAGTAAATTGTCTGTTGTCGATGAATAAGAGCGCCCGTTGATGCGTGTTTTGTACAGTCAGTAAAACATGACAAATTGGATTTCCGCACTTTCGTGTGAAAACGTACATCGAACTCATATTATATCTCTAGTTTTTAAATATGTTTAAGGTTGATAAATGTTTGAGAACATATTAAAAGCTTAGCTGAAGATATGTGAATACAGCAGAAATAATCAGCAAAGTTACAATGACGCTTTCTTTAATCAACTCCAATAACGATTTCGATTTCGTTGGTTGTCAGTTATCCAAAATCCTTGTCTATTTTATTTTCGCAGTGTTAAATTTCACTATGTTAAAAAAATACACATGATATTAGAAGCCTTTTGACGTTGGTGAAAATTATTGCAATATCTCAGCACAAAAGACAACGAAAGAAATCTTTGTCAAGATTTGTTGACAATCTGAAAATACCGACTCGGATTTGAAGGTGCACGCGCTGCACTATGCAAATAAGCTACTTGTACGCTTCAGACTTTCCTTTCAAAAACTTTTGCAAACTCGCCAAACAAGCAGAAACAATAAGAAGCTATCCAAAACAGGGTTTGTTTATGATTAAGCATTGTTTGGGAAACTCACAAATTAACTCGATACCAGAGTAAAGAGTTTTCTTGCATAAATTTTCTTTACAGAACAAACGCAAAATCTTACTCGTACAACCAGCGCGAGTAGATACTTCATTCACAGCGCGAAATTGAAGTCTTGTTTTCGTCCCTGAAAAACTCACCTTTTCCATTAGCTCAGAGCATAAAACTACATATAAGAGCCCTGGTTCTTATTCCCTGCCTTATTCCCAGCTATCGCTGTGAAAAATCTGCAAAAGAATCTCGCATCTCTCATCATTTGATCACGCAACGTGACAACATCCACGCGAGAGCCCCCGACATGTGCGTGGATCCGCGCGGATATATGACGTCAGGATGGCGCAATTTGTTCTAAAAATAGAAAAATTGTCCCATATCATAGGTGCGCGCGGATCCCAAGACTTACGGTCTCCGTCCCCGATTATGGCTCCTGTTCCAATTCAGTTCAATTGCAATTGAATTGTATCCAATTCAAGTTTTCAAGTGCATCACTAATCGATGTTATATTAACAAACTGGCCCCAACAAAATTGCCTGTTCTGGAGTTCTCCACACTAGTTTCAGAGACCATTATCCTATTTATGCAGTGCGCAAAATATCCGTTATATCAGTACAGCCGGCAAATCTCATAAATACATTTCATACAGGGATTATTCGAAATTTGACTCTCAAATTCCGAAATGATTTAGCCAAGCTCCATTGGGAAACTCTGAAACATTACGATGATCCTGAAAATTTGTGGAATACCTGGAAAAAATGTTTCTTTCTGTAGCTGACCAACACGCTCCGCCAAAAACAAAGCAAGTTCGTCAGAACGTTTCTCCTTGGCTCACTCGTGACATCACGGCACTTGTTGTCTAGAGAGACAAAACTAAATCAAACGCTCAAAAACATAATGATTCCAAACTTTGGTCAGAATACAAATCGCTTAGAAACCAAGTTAACAGAGAGAATAAAAATTCACGAAAACGCTTCTGCAACTCTACATTCTCTGAAAACTCAAGTAATCCCAAAGAAATTTGGAAACAATTAATTCAGTTACAGGTAGATCAGAAAAGGACTCTATTATCAACGAAATTAATGTCGATGAAACACATTTTATCAACAATCAAGACGAGTGCTGATTTCGTAACTTAACACTTCACGCGTGATCGGGCCTCAAAACTTCCAAGCACTACCAAGGCTTTTAATCTTTTCTTAACCCCAGCTTCATCCGTTTTTCAATTGACCTGTATTAATCCGAATGATGTGTTGAATCTCCTCGAAAACTTGGTCACTAATAAATCTGCCGGTCTCGATCGCATTCCAAACAAATTACTCAGGGTCGCAGCGGATATTATTGCCGAGCCCCTTTGCTTACTTTTTAACAATTCTACCGCTAGTGGTTATATTCCTAGTGATTGGAAAATTGCAAACGTTTTTTTCCATTCCACCAGGGCAACAGTAAAACAAATCTTAACAATTATCGTCGAATTCCCATTCTATCTTCGATTTCTAAAATTATAGAAAGGCTTGTTTACAACCAACTCTGTTTTATACCTTTCGGATAACAAATTGCCAAACAAATATCAATCAGGCTTTCGATCGTTACATTCAACCACCACAGCTTTGCCTGACGCTACCAATCAATGGTACTTCAACATCGATAATGGCCTTGTCACATCCGTTGTTTTTCTCGACTTAGCTAAAGCTTTTGACACCATTGATCACAATATTAATTATTCCAATAATTTTCCCCAAAAAATAAAAGTGGGGACCCGTACGGGAGACCGGGAGATTCGGTGTGTATCCATGAGGCTCCTGGATAATCTGAGAGAGTTTTCATCGTCTGTAAATGAAGAGGCTCCCGACGAGGGCGAAAAAAATATAACAGGGCGAGCGAAGCGAGCCTGGCAGGGTGGGATTTTTCCCTCTCCAGACCATTCTTGGCTATCTCTGCCCGCCTGTTTTTTTCCTTCCCCTACAACACATTCGGGGAGCCTGTTCACTGGCTAAGTTGGCAGAGATCTTGTAAACAAATTGAGAAGACGTCTACGCCACCTTTGCCATGTTTGCAGAGATTCGACAAGGATATTGAAAATCAGTTTGCAGAAACATAACGGAAACGAACAACAGCCGAAACGTCCTGACTTAAATACGACGGAAACATGACTCGACATTTTCGTTCCGGAAACATGACGGAAACTTGATAGAATCGCCAAGACTTGGTATTTCAGGTTTCCGTAAAACTTAACTGTAACGGAAACATGAAACTCTATGTTTCCGTCGGGTTTAAGAAATGCGGAAACGTGGGACTTCTTCCTGTGCAATATTTGTGTCAAAGCTTTACACCTGCAAATCCTTTTCTGTGTGGCAAGGTTTTTATGTCTGTGAAGCATATAACGTGGATTTTGAATTCAGTTAGGTCTTTATGACGACCTTCATTAAGTGGCACACAAACGTTTCCCATGTGTAGTCTCTCGTTGCTTATACAACTGTCTCATCGAGCGTTATAAAATGACACCAAACTCTAACGTGTGTTATCGTTTCAGCCCTTTTGGACGAAATTCGTTCAGACCTTTTTTTACGATAGCCGGATTCGGATATGGTGTGTCATATTCTCTTGATCTGATACACTGCCAAAAATGATCGGTCGACAAAATGGACAGAAATAACATTGAAGCTCATAGTCCTTGTGTAAAGTTTAATTATTTTCAATTGACTTATTCCTATAATTTGTATCACAATTGTTTGGACCTATAGTACTATTAAGCACCATGAGATCCACGAAGATCAAAGGTCAAGAAAAGAACGAAAAAGACCAGAAAATGGTGTCACGTCTGCCACGATTTGATGATCTTTTTTAAAACTCTATTTACTATTTACTTTGAATGAATGTTATCCTTCTAATTCAAAGAACGTTCACTTATCACGGAAATCTAATTGGTAAATCACGTATCACGTGCTTGTAAAATAGCAAATCACGCATCACGTTATGATGTCCTTTCCCGCGTCACGGCGGCTAATTTGGGGCGATCACGCGTCACGCAAAAAAACCCTTTGCCACCCTCAAAGAAGGAAATAACCACCAAATTATTGAGTGGAACTGATGAAAATAACCACTTAACATATATAGTGAAAGAACATTTCAATAACACAGGAAATAAAAAAGAAGACACGGAAAGCATCGACCAATATTAAACGGATTGCGATATGGGGTTGCGATATCTTGTTTGTTCGTTGCCGCCTTTAATTATAACGCCCGGGAGACATATTTGTTTGTAATAAAGCTATGGTTTTAAATAGTTCGTCTTGTATGATCGTCCGGGTGAGTGTAGTCAGTGTTGTGTAGTTCTGAAAAGAACTGTTGTTAGTGACTGACGTTTCGACAGCCTGAGCGGAAGTCATCTTCAGAGTCAAGTGAATAGTGTTTGTCAGACGATGCTATAGTTTAGGCCTCCTTCCACACGTATCCGGATGTGTTTGAATCCGCAACTTTTTCTTTCCGGATACAGCTTCCGTCCACACGCATCCGGCGAATTCGGCAGCGAATTCGGATATTTTTGCTACGAGTGAACGGGGAAATTTTTTAATCTGAAAGAAAAAGTTGCGGATTCAAAAATGTCCGGATACTTGTGGACGGGGCCTCAGTTGTTTAATTTAGATCCACCGAGAGAACATTTCTTCGCTAACCATGATTAATCTATAGTTACATAGCGAGTACGTGACAAAACTTAATAAAAATCAATATGCTCAACTCAGCCAGGACAGTTCCTTTAATGCATACTTTTCGTTTATTATGAAAAGAAAAATTGGGCAGATTAAGTCTTATTTTTAATTAAAAGTTGGCCTTGTCGTGCTAACAACGTTTACAGGATATTCAAGCTCAATTATGCTATCCCAACTAACAATTATTATTATTATTATTATTTATTATTATTTTTTTTAAAATTCTCATCTATCAGCTAAAGGTCTCAGCATTTTTTCAGCTAGGGTCCCGTGCACACTACGCTGGAGAAATTTGAAAACGCAGCTTTATTTCTAGGAATAGGTCTACCGTCCACACTAATTCGTCAGTAAAATGGAGCTTTTCGAAAACGATCCTCAAACCGGAGGAATTTGAAAACGACGGCTTTGCGTCAGTATGGGCGGAGAACAGTTTGATAACAGAGCTTTTCGAAAACGATGACATTGAGATAATTATGTGATTTTCCTGCCCAACTTTTCGTCAAATCCAAATCCAAAATTAAGGCGGTAATTGTTGCGTTTTCAAATTTTCCGGCGCATTGTGGACGGAAAATATTTTATGCGTTTTCAGAGTGAAAGCACCGTCTTTAAATTTCTCCGGCGTAGCATGGGCGGCGCCTAATGGTTTAAAATCTGGGCCAGTTCTCATTTATTCACACGCCCCATCCAGATACGCCATTAGGGCTCTTTTTATGAATGAATAACACGCTGGTTTTATCTCGCCTATTTCAAGATCTCAACTTATAACGGTAATTGGACAGCTTTGTACGTTAAGATTCTGACTTGGTTCCGATGTAAAGAAGAACAAGAATTTTTTATTGATCCCTCAATCTCGCTGTGATTACTTTTGTTTTATATTCTTCTAAGGCGCGGAGCCAATTTAGAATTTTAATATCTCGAAATAGGTCTTATTGTTTACAGCGGATGTGCTGTTTTTCATTGATGTTTGATTTGAAATCTATATTCAAACAAAAGAGTCAAAAACGAAAACCACTTTGTAAAAAAGCAGCTGCGTGTTACAAAAAGTCATCCGTGTGCTAGATTTATAGCAAAAACTGTCGTAAAAACTGAGAAGAAATTGTTTTGCTTCCTGACTGATGGGACCGACAGAAGAAAGTAGAGGAAGCTTACCGCAGAGCGCCATAAATTCTTCAGTCTTTGCTCTAACCACAGTTTTATCGCTCTCAGGAAATTCGCTCGTCTGTTTCGCTTTCTATCGAAACAGAAGATTACGCACAATTACCAATTTTTACATCCTGTCTTTAGCAGTAGCTGATATGATGGTGGCCGTCTTCTTGTTTCCATTTGGCACGGTTGCTTATGGGCTGCGCACTTGGCCATTCAGTGACAACTACTGCCAGTTCACTGGTTTTCTTTCGTTGTATTGGGCTGAGGTGTCCCTTTGCATTATGGCACTCACGTCGATCAATCGGTACTTGTGCGTTGTAAAGCCTCGTATGTACAGAGTACTGTTTACGAAGAGGAAGACTACTACCTCGATCATCTGGGTTTGGATTTGTTCGTTCATCATGTCCCTCGTCTACAATGTCGCCGCATCTGTTACTTATCGGTGGCAACCTTACGGTTTATACTGCCGACCAAAGATCCTTGATGAGCGGTTCGAGAGGATTTTGAACATAATGTTTGCGTGTTTGACTTTGCTATCAATGTTACTAGTGATATTTGGCTACGGTCGGGTTTATAGCGTTGTCAGAAAACACAACAGTGCCATCGTCCCTTCTCTGCGATTTCCAGACAGAACCATTAGTGCGCAAGAGATAAAAACATCTCGTGTACTTTTTGCTGCTGTGTTTGGTTTTTTCATCTGTTGGGCTCCTTTTATAGTCGTTTCGATTTTAGAATTCGGTTTTCTGGTAAACATTCCTTCTTCTATAGAGTTCATTCACCTGTTGTTCTCTACTTTCTCCGCGTGCATCAACCCAGTAATTTATGGCGTCATGAACCGCGCCATGCGAAAGGAGTTTCGTAGCATATTACTATGCAGAAAAGGTTAGAAAAAATATAGTAACTACAATGTAAAGCCCTGGTCAAACGACGCGTGATAGTTGATGATAGTCGACGAGACCTGTAGCCAACTATCATGCACTATCATCGACTATCATCAACTGTCATTTACATTAAGCTTGTTCAAATTGTTAATGATAGTCGATGATGGTTTTTCCCGTTTGACCACGCCTACGATAGTTGGTGATAGTTTATGACAGTTAGGGGGGAACCACCTCTCCACGGTTTGACCACGCCCTCACTGCAACCAACGTTGAAGTGATTTTTGGAGCTGTCACGCGCACCCGCAATTTTGCCTTGATTTCCTCTCTCTATATATCATTCACAACCGGCTGACACGATGTTTTTTCAATTTGTGATGCAAATTAGCCATACGGTCTGCCAAGGCGCAAATAGAGGAAGGAAGGAAGACAGTCCTCTTAAAATTGTCTCGTCCCTGTAGTGGAAGCTTGTGGCAAATTTGATTTCATTACTATAGCTACGTAATAAAGAATAGTCAATCGATATTTTAATTGTTAACTTTTCAAGTTTTTTTTTCTAGAAATGCACCGAAATCGCCTAAAACATAGAATATTATATACTACATTACTAAAAGCTTAGCATGGCTACGCAAAATATATAAAAAGAATAGAAAAATAGTAGAAATGTGATGATTTTGTCCTTACTGACTGAGTGGGAGTTCGGGAGGGGAAAATATTAATTTGGCTCGAGCTAAGGACGTATACGGACCTAGCGCAGCGAGGTCTGTATAAGATGCCGGATTCGCGGTAACAAATTTGCGTTATTATATATCTCAGAATATCTTATACAGCAGCGGAACCCCAAGGGAGGGATATCAACTGTGGACTAACCCTATTCTGACAGGTGGAGACGGAAAGTGCACGAACTGACTTCAGAACCGTTTATAACGTTTTCAACACCTAAGTAAAAGCTGTTAGACTCTGCAACTGTATCTGAAATTTACCTGGAACAATACGTTTGGTATGACATGCCTTGGAACTCGGAGGCTTGATGTTTTGATGGTAATTGTATATTGGCATGCCACTCAAAATTTGAAATTTCTTGTATTTATCAGCAAAATTTCACTTTCATGCGGCGGCTATTTTTCTTATTATTTTTCGGCTCTCTGCAGGGTTGTTTTGCTAATTTTGATTAGGTTCAAGGAATTTTTTGGTGATTTCCTCACGTTTTAGAAAGATCCAAAAATCCAATCACAATGCCAACAAACTCGTTTGTTGTGTTCTTCGCGCACGATTTCAAACGCACGAAAATAAATCAAGAAAGCTACGCTACTGGTAGATTAGAAAAAGATGTTCTTATAAAAAGTCGGAATATTTGCCAAAACGTAATATATAAAATAAAGTACACTTGGTTGTAGCTGTGAAAATGTACTTGTGATATTCTTCGAGGTGCTCGATCAAATTTTCCAAAGAAATTTCTTTGTCCTTATGATAATTTTTTTTATATTTTCTTCATATGCAGAATTAGTTCATTTTGAATCGACGTTACTATGTAGCGTTTTCGCATGACGTCACGACAGCCATATTGGCGTTCCAAAACAATGAAACAGCGGCCATGTTGGTTTACCAAACCAATCCTGTGGAGTTCAACTCTTTTCTTATACAAACACTTCCTTCTGCATGAGCACATGCTTGCCACGTGAGTGAAAACGCTCTATGACCTCGATTGCCAGCTGCTGTTCGGAAATTCCGCAATCCTCCCCCCTGGGGTCCTTCGGGAACTGGGCTTCAGTGAGAGGCGAAAATCGAGCCTACTTTGCTATTCACCGACTCAACATCATGAGACATTTAAGATGGCGGATCAAAGATGGTACGTTATGAATTGTGGAGCAAGTTGAACAATATTTACCAAGAAGTCTTATCTGAACTGTCACGTCTGAAGATTATTGAAAAAAAAAAAAAAACTCAACAATTTTAGTTATAGTTATCGTTGTAAAATGATGCATCAAAAGAATTGGATGTATGCGTCACGTTATACCATCTGAGAACCCAGAGGCTTTTNACCAAACTCTAACGTGTGTTATCGTTTCAGCCCTTTTGGACGAAATTCGTTCAGACCTTTTTTTACGATAGCCGGATTCGGATATGGTGTGTCATATTCTCTTGATCTGATACACTGCCAAAAATGATCGGTCGACAAAATGGACAGAAATAACATTGAAGCTCATAGTCCTTGTGTAAAGTTTAATTATTTTCAATTGACTTATTCCTATAATTTGTATCACAATTGTTTGGACCTATAGTACTATTAAGCACCATGAGATCCACGAAGATCAAAGGTCAAGAAAAGAACGAAAAAGACCAGAAAATGGTGTCACGTCTGCCACGATTTGATGATCTTTTTTAAAACTCTATTTACTATTTACTTTGAATGAATGTTATCCTTCTAATTCAAAGAACGTTCACTTATCACGGAAATCTAATTGGTAAATCACGTATCACGTGCTTGTAAAATAGCAAATCACGCATCACGTTATGATGTCCTTTCCCGCGTCACGGCGGCTAATTTGGGGCGATCACGCGTCACGCAAAAAAACCCTTTGCCACCCTCAAAGAAGGAAATAACCACCAAATTATTGAGTGGAACTGATGAAAATAACCACTTAACATATATAGTGAAAGAACATTTCAATAACACAGGAAATAAAAAAGAAGACACGGAAAGCATCGACCAATATTAAACGGATTGCGATATGGGGTTGCGATATCTTGTTTGTTCGTTGCCGCCTTTAATTATAACGCCCGGGAGACATATTTGTTTGTAATAAAGCTATGGTTTTAAATAGTTCGTCTTGTATGATCGTCCGGGTGAGTGTAGTCAGTGTTGTGTAGTTCTGAAAAGAACTGTTGTTAGTGACTGACGTTTCGACAGCCTGAGCGGAAGTCATCTTCAGAGTCAAGTGAATAGTGTTTGTCAGACGATGCTATAGTTTAGGCCTCCTTCCACACGTATCCGGATGTGTTTGAATCCGCAACTTTTTCTTTCCGGATACAGCTTCCGTCCACACGCATCCGGCGAATTCGGCAGCGAATTCGGATATTTTTGCTACGAGTGAACGGGGAAATTTTTTAATCTGAAAGAAAAAGTTGCGGATTCAAAAATGTCCGGATACTTGTGGACGGGGCCTCAGTTGTTTAATTTAGATCCACCGAGAGAACATTTCTTCGCTAACCATGATTAATCTATAGTTACATAGCGAGTACGTGACAAAACTTAATAAAAATCAATATGCTCAACTCAGCCAGGACAGTTCCTTTAATGCATACTTTTCGTTTATTATGAAAAGAAAAATTGGGCAGATTAAGTCTTATTTTTAATTAAAAGTTGGCCTTGTCGTGCTAACAACGTTTACAGGATATTCAAGCTCAATTATGCTATCCCAACTAACAATTATTATTATTATTATTATTTATTATTATTTTTTTTAAAATTCTCATCTATCAGCTAAAGGTCTCAGCATTTTTTCAGCTAGGGTCCCGTGCACACTACGCTGGAGAAATTTGAAAACGCAGCTTTATTTCTAGGAATAGGTCTACCGTCCACACTAATTCGTCAGTAAAATGGAGCTTTTCGAAAACGATCCTCAAACCGGAGGAATTTGAAAACGACGGCTTTGCGTCAGTATGGGCGGAGAACAGTTTGATAACAGAGCTTTTCGAAAACGATGACATTGAGATAATTATGTGATTTTCCTGCCCAACTTTTCGTCAAATCCAAATCCAAAATTAAGGCGGTAATTGTTGCGTTTTCAAATTTTCCGGCGCATTGTGGACGGAAAATATTTTATGCGTTTTCAGAGTGAAAGCACCGTCTTTAAATTTCTCCGGCGTAGCATGGGCGGCGCCTAATGGTTTAAAATCTGGGCCAGTTCTCATTTATTCACACGCCCCATCCAGATACGCCATTAGGGCTCTTTTTATGAATGAATAACACGCTGGTTTTATCTCGCCTATTTCAAGATCTCAACTTATAACGGTAATTGGACAGCTTTGTACGTTAAGATTCTGACTTGGTTCCGATGTAAAGAAGAACAAGAATTTTTTATTGATCCCTCAATCTCGCTGTGATTACTTTTGTTTTATATTCTTCTAAGGCGCGGAGCCAATTTAGAATTTTAATATCTCGAAATAGGTCTTATTGTTTACAGCGGATGTGCTGTTTTTCATTGATGTTTGATTTGAAATCTATATTCAAACAAAAGAGTCAAAAACGAAAACCACTTTGTAAAAAAGCAGCTGCGTGTTACAAAAAGTCATCCGTGTGCTAGATTTATAGCAAAAACTGTCGTAAAAACTGAGAAGAAATTGTTTTGCTTCCTGACTGATGGGACCGACAGAAGAAAGTAGAGGAAGCTTACCGCAGAGCGCCATAAATTCTTCAGTCTTTGCTCTAACCACAGTTTTATCGCTCTCAGGAAATTCGCTCGTCTGTTTCGCTTTCTATCGAAACAGAAGATTACGCACAATTACCAATTTTTACATCCTGTCTTTAGCAGTAGCTGATATGATGGTGGCCGTCTTCTTGTTTCCATTTGGCACGGTTGCTTATGGGCTGCGCACTTGGCCATTCAGTGACAACTACTGCCAGTTCACTGGTTTTCTTTCGTTGTATTGGGCTGAGGTGTCCCTTTGCATTATGGCACTCACGTCGATCAATCGGTACTTGTGCGTTGTAAAGCCTCGTATGTACAGAGTACTGTTTACGAAGAGGAAGACTACTACCTCGATCATCTGGGTTTGGATTTGTTCGTTCATCATGTCCCTCGTCTACAATGTCGCCGCATCTGTTACTTATCGGTGGCAACCTTACGGTTTATACTGCCGACCAAAGATCCTTGATGAGCGGTTCGAGAGGATTTTGAACATAATGTTTGCGTGTTTGACTTTGCTATCAATGTTACTAGTGATATTTGGCTACGGTCGGGTTTATAGCGTTGTCAGAAAACACAACAGTGCCATCGTCCCTTCTCTGCGATTTCCAGACAGAACCATTAGTGCGCAAGAGATAAAAACATCTCGTGTACTTTTTGCTGCTGTGTTTGGTTTTTTCATCTGTTGGGCTCCTTTTATAGTCGTTTCGATTTTAGAATTCGGTTTTCTGGTAAACATTCCTTCTTCTATAGAGTTCATTCACCTGTTGTTCTCTACTTTCTCCGCGTGCATCAACCCAGTAATTTATGGCGTCATGAACCGCGCCATGCGAAAGGAGTTTCGTAGCATATTACTATGCAGAAAAGGTTAGAAAAAATATAGTAACTACAATGTAAAGCCCTGGTCAAACGACGCGTGATAGTTGATGATAGTCGACGAGACCTGTAGCCAACTATCATGCACTATCATCGACTATCATCAACTGTCATTTACATTAAGCTTGTTCAAATTGTTAATGATAGTCGATGATGGTTTTTCCCGTTTGACCACGCCTACGATAGTTGGTGATAGTTTATGACAGTTAGGGGGGAACCACCTCTCCACGGTTTGACCACGCCCTCACTGCAACCAACGTTGAAGTGATTTTTGGAGCTGTCACGCGCACCCGCAATTTTGCCTTGATTTCCTCTCTCTATATATCATTCACAACCGGCTGACACGATGTTTTTTCAATTTGTGATGCAAATTAGCCATACGGTCTGCCAAGGCGCAAATAGAGGAAGGAAGGAAGACAGTCCTCTTAAAATTGTCTCGTCCCTGTAGTGGAAGCTTGTGGCAAATTTGATTTCATTACTATAGCTACGTAATAAAGAATAGTCAATCGATATTTTAATTGTTAACTTTTCAAGTTTTTTTTTCTAGAAATGCACCGAAATCGCCTAAAACATAGAATATTATATACTACATTACTAAAAGCTTAGCATGGCTACGCAAAATATATAAAAAGAATAGAAAAATAGTAGAAATGTGATGATTTTGTCCTTACTGACTGAGTGGGAGTTCGGGAGGGGAAAATATTAATTTGGCTCGAGCTAAGGACGTATACGGACCTAGCGCAGCGAGGTCTGTATAAGATGCCGGATTCGCGGTAACAAATTTGCGTTATTATATATCTCAGAATATCTTATACAGCAGCGGAACCCCAAGGGAGGGATATCAACTGTGGACTAACCCTATTCTGACAGGTGGAGACGGAAAGTGCACGAACTGACTTCAGAACCGTTTATAACGTTTTCAACACCTAAGTAAAAGCTGTTAGACTCTGCAACTGTATCTGAAATTTACCTGGAACAATACGTTTGGTATGACATGCCTTGGAACTCGGAGGCTTGATGTTTTGATGGTAATTGTATATTGGCATGCCACTCAAAATTTGAAATTTCTTGTATTTATCAGCAAAATTTCACTTTCATGCGGCGGCTATTTTTCTTATTA